TAGGAAACGTATATGACCCTGAGTAATGAGTTACAAAGTTACTTGAAAAATCCCTGTCAGAAAGGGAGCAGATCTTGTGTGAGACACAACAAAATTGTTAAAATTATTCACAATACTGGTTACATTGTTCTACACTTTTATTTATGAACTGTTTCAATAAATCTTCTTTTATTTAAGTCTGCCAGCTCTGAAAGGAATAATTTCTCAGGAAACACATAGACCCTCATGAGACCTAAAAACTCGACCTACCTATCCAGTGATAGCCAAAAGAAAGTATAAAGGTTTGGAAAGCCTAAAATTTCCTGGTGGTAGCCTAACGTACCCAGTTGAATAAAATAAAAAGTACACTTTAAAGTGAAACCAGGCCTCCCCAGATAAGGGGACGTCACAGCTAGTCTTTTAGATTCTGCTGTAATATATTAACATAAATGCCCTACTATATGGGGGCGGCATTGTAAACCGGTTCTTGTGTGCTAACAGTCCCATGCTGCCTTGTCTACACACAAGAGTGTCGTAGCTCTACATGCGAGCAACAGATGGAAGGTTTTCATGGAAGAAACTGGCGTTGGCTCACGGAGTTTAAAAACAATCAGTAGCCGAGTCTTTCCCAAACTTTGGCAACTAGCTAGGACTGAGAGAGAGAAAACAGTTTAAATTTTCTTTGGAGCGCAGCCAGCGCATAAAAAAAATAAAAATAAAGCTCTGCAGTCATTTGGCAAGCCGGTTGGCTGAACGTTATCTCGGTATTTGCTGGGTGAAAAAAAAATATCTCTGTGACTCATTTCAGATAATAGCTCTCATTTTGTGCAAAGATGAAACTGGGACTATTCATATTTTATAATGGAGAATTAACACTAGTGCTGTTAGAGAGAACCACGCCGCAAAGGTTGAATCGCTGAGCTGATGGTGATTATCCCAGCTAAATAGCCCGATGAATGCCACTTCCCCTTCATTTCGAAGAACGATATCGGCCTCCAATGTGCAAGTGAATCCAGGCTTTGTGTAATTATAACGTCTTTCTGCATCCCGTTAGGCTGTTGGGTTTTGATATTATTGCGGGCTTGCAAATAAATCTAAAAGAAAAAAAAATAGCCTTTTGTAAAGTTGTCCAGCTCGATCGTCTGGAGCAAAGCGTTCAGTGCGTAGACAGTCGGGCCGGTATAGGATCCGTGCAGTGATGTAAAGTGTTGGAGTAGGGTCTGGGACAGCCACATCTGCCTGTGCTTCTTGAGATAAAAAATGCACTAGACAGATAAAGAGCTCTATCGTGTTTGCAAAATAACCCTCTAGCCCATTTTCAGCACTGAGTTTGTGTCACTTGGTTGAATCCTGGAACGTTTCTACTTGCGTGGGTGCTCTCACGTAAGCAAGAGCCCAAGGAAATCGCTGTAGTTAGGCCCTTGCGCAGTTGCCGTGACTGTATCCCATTTTGCATTTCCGCTTGTGCCAGTTTGGTGTCGTGGCTAAGTGCGCGGACTCTAATCTGGGAGAACCGGGTTTGATCCCCCCACTCCCCCACTTGCGGCTGCTGGTGTGACCTTGGGTTATGCACAACTCAGTTCTCTCAGAGCTGTTCTCTCAAGGACAGTTCTCTCAGAGCTCTCTCAGAATATATGGCAGTCCATAGGGTAGCGTCAAGAGATGGGACAACCCTGCCCCATCATCTCTTTCTGTTAGTCTTCGGTGCACCGACATTCTTACGAGGCTAGATGCTCTTGGAATGAATTTGTCATGTTCCCATGTAAAGAGCCATGTACATATGATTTTAAACCTTGAGAGTATCTCTTGATGTTTTTTCACAGAGCTTCTTGTAGTGAAGAGGAGAAGAGGTAGACCCAAGGGCTCGACCAAGAAATTTTATGCTGAGGAAGAATCAGTAGAAAGCAGTAACTGTGTTCCGAGCGAGGATGTGCAGCCAGGACCTGAAGGAGGAGGAGGAGGAGGAGAACTGGAAGAGGTCTCACCGGGCAACTTGGAATGCAGAAAGTGCAGCCGGAAATTCTCTAATTCCCGGCAGCTAAGAAAACACATCTGCATCTTAGTTAAACCTGAAGACCTTGAAGATGAAGGTGATCCAGGTAAGCAATCTCTACCGGGTATATTTTGAAGGCACGGGGTGTGACAACGAAGAAGAGCATAAGTAGAGCATGGGTGTTCATGGGAATGCGGTGTGAGGATGAACTGCACATGTAGCTGGAGTTTTATCTACCGTTTCTGCCACAGCAATTCCCATTCAAAAAGACACATGCATGCTGCTGCTGAGTTTTAAGAGCTTGTGGCAGAATGGGCCTGCTGTGGCCTGCAGACCGTATTCCTCCCTGCCCTCTTAGGAGTTTTTCAACACCTGGAGCGTCTTTTCTTTCTCTCCAGTAGCCTGCCGCCAACTGACCTTTGTATGGAATTGCCCACTGGGAGGGTCAGGACTCCCAGCTTCCCTTCCAAGTTCTGAGGATTTGCCTCTGTGTCTCCTGCTGCCTAGCACCAGGTCACCATGGGGAGTTTACGGCTTTGCGTGCCCCTGGAGGAATAGCCACTTGCCAACTGACTGCCTTCCCCCGATGCTTCTTTTGAAATAGTGTGTTTGAGATGGTGGAGGTCTATGTGGTACAGAGAACCACTCCTAGCATCCAAAGTTATAAAGTATTTATTAAAAAGAAAATGTGTACAAGCATACTTTTAGCACAGCACCAAGTTAAGTAAGGGATACCAAAAAAAATTGTAAAATGTATATCCTCTGTCCCTTTCTCTATACATGCCCTATCAGATGTTAAAATAGGACAGGCCGATTTAGCTGAGGTAGTTACAAATCCCTACAAAGTTTCCTTTACCTTGAAACTTGCTCCAGCTCTTGAGGTGAGGTCTGTGTGTCTGCTCATGGATGCAGCACCCAAGGAAAAGAGAACTCCTTCCTGTTGCCAGGAGGTTTTATAGTATCTGTTTCTCCACCCTCTGCCCTGGTCACGTCAGTTCAAAGAGGCGTTTCCTAGAGAGCATCTCTGGCACCCCGCTAGTTCAAAGTCCTCCAAACCTCTATTTCCTGCCTGAAGTGGGGGAGAGACCACCCCCTTGTTTCTCCTGCTAAAGGTATTAGCATATGTATAAAGTTACACTAGAAAGCATTTGGACTGACTTCTTCCTTTCCAGCCTATTCTCTGACTGGGGGGTGGGGAGACTGTTAAAATGCAAAGAGGAGGTTTTGCTCCTTTCAAACCTAGAGGGAAAAAAATGAATTTCTTCAAAGAACTTGTCACTTCCTTTTCAAATAGGTATGGTGTGTTGTTCAGGAATTATTCGGACTAACCCTTTACATGGTGCTATCTGTATTGGAAAGGGAGCAGGGATGAGATTAAAGAATATGAAGACAACAGAAAAGGACTTAGATCCTTAGAGTCAGAGACAGATATAACAAATTTAAAGCACTTACTACGGGCATTCCAAAAGTAGAGACATGTATGAAGTGATTTCATTTTCAGCTAAGTGGCAGTGTAGGGGTGTGTGCTCGGTATATACCGAGTTGAATAAATAAAACTCATTGGTATTTTTCGGCTATTTAGTCTGCTGAATCAGATTCTCTAATCTGATTTGGCTACTAATCTAGCTGAGCTTGAATAAAAGTTTATATTATTCGGCTTTTAGTTGGGCTCAGTTTCACTTGCCAATGCGGCATGAGTTTACCCACCTTCTGGGTTCCTCACGCTGCTTTTAATTCCTCGCACATGGCTTGGCTTTGCAAAAGCCATTTAAAGGGAAAGTTCCCTTTAAATGGCTTCTGCAAAACCAAGTTGTGCAGTGACTTGCAGAGCTAAAGGGTCAGGAGCAAAAGGGATAGGTTAATCGGATTCTATCCATGTAAGCCTAACAGCATGGCAGGTTCAAATGTCTTGTGAGTTCAGAAGGCATTCAAAGTTTAAATGCCTTCTGAACTCCAATATATTGTCTGGGGATGGTCCCCATAGGGTATAATGAAACCAAATAAACTCAGGTTTCCTGAATATTTACCCAAATCCCAATATGATACATTGGGATTTGGGAATATATGGGAATACAGATATTTTTCAGAATCAGAAAAATACTTCTTATTTTTTGCACACATCCTACAACAGGGTTTATGCTTTACTTGGTTCTTACAAAATGATCCTAAGAAATGTACATTCGGAGAAATTGTATCTGAATCGGTTGTCTATGTCTGATTAATTTCCAGGCACAATCCAGTGCTGTGGATTCTAAATCAAGATGCCTGAGCTAGTAACAGGAACCTTTTTCTGTAACATCTTTTGCATTCTGATTTTTCCCCCTTTCCTTTTTTATTTAAGCAAAGGTATAATTTGTCCAGCAGTCTCGTTTATGGCATATGCTTGTGCCCTTTGTCATTTCTGAGTGTTCTCAGCAGCAGTAACATTTGCAATATTCTAGCATAATTGGGTTTAGTAAATGCCTTTTAAAAATTAGCAATAGACTGTCTGCATTACTGGAATTAGCTGTCCTTGACCCCTCTGCTCATTAAAACCATTAAACCAGAGCCGGAGACAGTTTCCTTCACGGAACGCTGGTAGAATTTTCCAGTTGAAATTGCTTTCTGTCTTTTGTCTAAGAAAGCCGCTTCTCTGCTTGCAGGTGAACAAGAAACGCGGTCTTCTGGGGGTAAAAAAAAATAAAAGCAAGCCAATCAGTCCCATGCAGAAAATTAACTGTTGGCATTGCTCAATGTGTATTTTTAATACTTGCATGAAACACAGTTTAATTCTTTGGGGCAGGTCTCCAAAGAGCATCATTCGGGGCTCCAAAGCAGTGATTTTCCCGCAAGGCGGCCACGCGATAAAGCCAAGAACGCCTCGCGCAGGTACCTTAATATAGTTACATACCGAAGGCCTTTTAAATTGCAGGGGATTTGCTGGGTCAACATCGAGCAGTTCAGCTGACGTCAAAGAATGAGAGATGAGACGTGCAGAGTGTGAGAACCGTTTGTGGAGGTGCTGCCTCCCACATACTCACTTGGCCCTCAGGTTACTGACTGGGGACCGTGAAGAATCCCCAATCCAAGGGATTCTCTGTACTGGCCATCAGAGGACGAAATTACAAAACCCCTGGGGTGTGCTTCCACACACTCACCAGTCCTGGTATCTGCCACCAGCCCCTGGGACTTCCCGTACAGTCAGAAACTAGGGGGTAAACCTCTAACCTCACTGGGATTCATCAAGGAAGTCAGCACTGCAAGGTAGGCCACTCGCAGAAGGCGTTTCCATAACAACTAATCTGGTGGGTGGAGTCTTAAGGTCTAAGGTACTGACATAGGACTGAGGTGGGGTGAGAAGAAGAGATTGGATTTATACCCCGCCCTTCACTTGGAGTCTCAGAGCGGCTTACAAACTCCTTTCCCCTCCCCTCCCCTCCCCTCCCCACAACAGACACCCTGTGAGGTGGGTGGGGCTGAGAGAACTCTGACACAAACTGCTCTTTCTCAAGGACAGCTGTGCCAGAGCTTGGACTCCAACCATCCTGGTCGCCCTCTTCTGGACACGCTCGAGCTTGTCAACATCCTTCCTAAAATGTGGTGCCCAAAACTGGACACAGGACTCCAGGTGAGGCCTGACCATAGCAGAATGGAGCGGAACTACCACCTTGCGTGAACTGGACACAATGCTTCTGTTAATACATCCTAAGATTGCATTAGCTTTCTTCACAGCCTCATCGCACTGCAGGCTCATGTTTAACTTGTGATCAACCAGAACACCCAGATCCCTTTCACATGAGCTGCTGTCAGTTAACATGTATTAACGTGTTAATTTCATGAGTCATGAGTCATGAAAGAAGAAAACGTCATATGGCATTGGGCTCGCAGCCTGGGTCAAGGCCTCCTGCTGCATCCCTTTGGGCCTGGTAAAGGGTGGGTGAGGGGCCCATGTCACAGGTCTGAACCAAGCCCATATGATGCTTAGGCTGTGCCTCACTCCACAGGCTTCGTGCTGTTGGAAAGTGCTGTCAGGTTGCAGCCAATTCATGGCAACCCTCTAGGATTTTCAAGGCAGGAGACAAACGGGTGGCTTGCCATTGCCTGCCTCTGCATAGCAACCCTGGACTTCCCTGGTGGCCTCCCATCCAAGTACTAACCAGGGCCGACCCTGCTTAGCTTACAAGATCAGGCTAGCCTGGGCCATCCAGGTCAGGGCAGAGATGAGCAGAGGTGGTTTGCCCTGGCCTGCCTCTGCGTAGCAACCCTGGACTTCCTTGGTGGCCTCCCATCCAAGTACTAACCAGGGCCGACCCTGCTTAGCATACAAGATCAGGCTAGCCTGGGCCATCCAGGTCAGGGCAGAGATGAGCAGAGGTGGTTTGCCCTGGCCTGCCTCTGCGTAGCAACCCTGGACTTCCTTGGTGGCCTCCCATCCAAGTACTAACCAGGGCCGACCCTGCTTAGCATACAAGATCAGGCTAAGATAAGGCTAGCCTGGGCCATCCAGGCCAGGGCAGAGACAAACAGAGGTGGTTTGCCGTTGCCTGCCTCTGCGTAGCAACCCTGGAGTTCCTTGGTGGTCTCCCATCCAAGTACTAGCCAGAACCAACCCTGCCTAGCTTCTGAGATCTGCCAAGATCAGGCTAGCCTGGGCCATCCAGGCCAGGGCAGAGATAAGCAGAGGTGGTTTGCCATTGCCTGCCTCTGCGTAGCAACCCTGGACTTCCCTGGTGGCCTCCCATCCAAGTACTAACCGGGGCCGACCCTGCTTAGCTTACAAGATCAGGCTAGCCTGGGCCATCCAGGCCAGGGCAGAGATAAGCAGAGGTGGTTTGCCATTGCCTGCCTCTGCGTAGCAACCCTGGACTTCCTTGGTGGCCTCCCATCCAAGTACTAACCGGGGCCGACCCTGCTTAGCTTACAAGATCAGGCTAGCCTGGGCCATCCAGGCCAGGGCAGAGATAAGCAGAGGTGGTTTGCCATGGCCTGCCTCTGCGTAGCAA